TTAGCATCTTAACAAAAGAACAGCACATCTGTAGGGAAGCAACAAGAGGAAGGAAAAGGGGTTTGGGCTTTGAGGGGCAGCCGAGGTGGGAAGGTACATACGTGAGGGAAATAAGGTCGCTGCAGTCAGACTGGCCTGCAGACCCATCTCAGGCCTGACTTCTGTCCCGTGGCCACGGGAGTCCCCCAGGAGCGCGAGGCCCGGCACCAGCACTTCTCAGAAGTGTCTGCTGTCAGGTAAGCAAAGCTTTGGGAAGGCTTCGGTCTGCCCCTGTTGATTCTAATTTGCCTCCAGTTCAAAGTCATCCTTAGGCCACAGTGGCATCTTTTGGGGTGGCACATCCTGGTCCCCTTAAAAGTATTTTGCAATTTTGGGTCTTTATAATTTTGGGTCTTTATATATTTTTGATGCATGGAATTTTTAAATCATTAATATGGATAATAATTAAGCAGTCTCAGTTAAACTGTTGTAAAACCTGTTGGCACTTCCATAGGTGGTTTTCTCACCTTAGTTTTACCCTGAGGGATTCCAGCTCCACTTCAGAATTGAATCAGTCACGTTCCCTTGCAAGGGTTTTATACTCTTTCGTTTGTTCTCTGTTTTCACGTTCTTGTTTTTAAAAACCTTTGTCAGAGTATCCACTCTTGCTGAAACTAAGAGTGTTTCCTTATTTCCCATTTATTTTCCATCTTCATTAGAAATTTTACTAGTTTCCTTGATGACTATTTCTTTACTCTGGCAAGTCAAGCAATTAGATTATTCCTTTGAAAGTCATATAATTATTTTTTTTTAGCATATCCTTAAAATATATAGGTAGAGAAAAACCTACCAGATTTTCTGTAACCTCTGCCTTTTTTTATTTTGTAATGGAATATGTGCAACTACAATTGAGAGCACTTTTAGGGTAAATTTTCTCACTATTTAGTCTTGGCTCACAAGCACCACACGGCCTCCCCGTAGACTAGCCCTGGTCTTGGAACAGAGGCACAGAAAGCAAGCCCACGATTATGAAAGGGGCGATGGCTTGACCGCCTCTATGATCTTGTCAGAACCACCGATGAGGTGTTACCTGCCTAATTCAAGGATTGTTTTCAGTGTTCTGCAGGGAATGGACTAGAGGAAGGCTGGAGTAAATGCATGGAGGCTCCTATATTACTTCAGGAAGGGAGGATGATGATGTCCAGTTCTGCAAACCCCGTAAAGGAAATTTAATCAGGGGATAGGGCCCAATTTGCAGATAACAGAAACCACACTAAGTGTTGAAGGAGCTAGCGATTAAACATAGGGAAATAGTGCTCACTAACCTGTAGGAGCAGCTGAAGGCTGGGCCTCTGGAAGTTTTCTTAGGACAGCTCCCTAGACCAGCCTGTCCAGGGCACTGAGTCACAGTCAGGAGGCTGGGGAATCTGGGACCACTGTTTGACCTCTGGCTCCAAGGTCACACCTTAGCCACCTCCAGACCGAGTCCTCCAACCAAATGTGGCTGGGAGAATGGATGTCCCGCTTACTCCCTGCTTCACACGCTTCCGAATTCCAGTCATCCCAAAAATTAGAACTAGGTTGTGCACTGAAAGTTATTTTGGGTATACAGCTGATTGGCAGAACCTAAATCACATTTGAAACCTTAGCTTTAAGGGAGTCTGGAAGTGTTTGGGGTTTTTTAAGCCTCTCGGCCCCATACCTGGAGGATGGTGAGTGAACCCCTGCCCTGCTCCCGTGAAGCAGGCTGTCCTGGTGGAGATGCATGGGGGAGGGGTGCTGGAGTGTGTGAAAGGGAGAGCCCCTGGAAGTGGTGACTGATGGTGTAGGGGGGAGAAGAGGGAGCTGACAAGGGTAATGTCGGGGACCCACCCTGTTGCGTTAAGTCCTGGTTTTGCATGTTTCAGACTTTTTATTGTCCGTAGCCTTCGCTGTGAAATGATCAGTGGCGACAGTGGAGCAAACCCATTTTGAGAACGAGTGATCCAAAAGCTTCCTCATACTGCTGAGATTCCTTTGAAGATAATATGTCGGAATATACTTCCTTTTCCCAGTACATTTCTGTAGGCACAGAAGTAGACGTCAAGCATGCGATGTTGTCTCAGTGGTGCCACCAGCCCCCAGGTTGTGGAATGTGCCTGGGAGGGCCCTGCAGCCTTAAGGGTGGTGTGACGGGCAGAGCCCCAGGCATGAGGGGCCTTCTGGGGGAACCTGCTGGGCCTGGAGTTGGTTTGCTTGTTGACTCAGAGATGCCATCTACCCCTGAGCCTGACCGAGGGGTTGTGCACCAGGCGCTGCCTGGTCCTGGGTCCTGGCCCCTCCCAAGGCTGAGCAAAGGTGCCTGAGAGCTCTTCGACCTGCTTTCTTTTCATACTGGCTGTGGAAGTGGTCCCGTCTCTCTCGACCATTTCAGTTTCCACTTGAGTGTTGTCCATCAATCGAGGTTCATTGAGGAGGTCACTGAATGTTTGATTTGGTAGCAACTAAATTGGCTCTTGGCTGCCCAAGGGCAGCCAGATAGAGTTATTATTCAGGTGACTGAGTTCACTACAGTATTGGCAATTCCCCCACCCTCTGGATGCTTTTATAAAATCTCTGGTCTTCTGGCATCTAATATAAGCATGATGTGCTCCTTTGTATCTATCACTTATCCTCAAGTAAACTCATCAGCAGGAAGTCTGGGTGGAGACCTGTGCGTGGTGCTCTGCCACAGAGCCAGCAGCTGGTGTCAGCAGCAACCTGGGGCCAGGTATGCCCCTCTCCTGCTAAGAATGTGTCAGGCTGAGGCACAGGCAGGTGTGATGTGATTGGACGATGATTACAGGTGTCCTAGCACCTCCTCTCCCAGGTTAGCCAGCTGTCCTATGGGTGTAGCTCTTACTGTGGGAGTCGATGATGCGGGCAGGTTCCTGGGCTGCGCAGTGAGGGGAGAAAGCGGTGCAGATGGCCTCAGTGTGTAAACCCAGCTGGGAAGTAGACTACACACACTGTTGGTTAGGATGCTATAACTCACAGTGTAGGCACAGCCTGCGTTCCCCAGGCGAGAGATCGCTTGCACCTTGGAAAGTGTTTGTTATTAAAAATCTCTTTTTTCCTAGAAACAATCTATACATGAATATTGGTTTTCCAAGTTTGCCGTCAAAGACCTACTGAACTCATAATCTAGTTTCACAATCCTGCATTTGCAGTACAAAACAGTAGCCAGTGCTGCTGTGCAGGGTCTGTCCAGTGTCTGGCTGCAATCTGCTCCTGACCCAGGGCAGAACAGCAGAGCTCAGTCAGGCTCCAGAATGGCAGGGCCGGGCCCCTAGCAGTGATCAGACCTCTGCAGGGGTCAGAATCACCTGGAAGCCCGTCAAAGTTAATCTGCATTAAAGTTAAGCTGCATTAAAGTTAAGCTGCTAAAGTTAAGCTGCATCTACCACTTATTTCACTCTGGAAGCTCTCAGGGGCCTGGGGTGGGGCTCAAGAATTCATGCTTCTGACACATTCCCAGGTGCTGCTTATGTTTCTGGTCCCTGGATCACCTTTGAGGACCACTGGGACAAACACAGGATGAAGTTGCCCTTCTAAAAATCTCCTGTACTTTGATTCCTAATGATAAGATTCTAGCACCAGCAGTGCCCCCACTCCCCAGACATGAGAAAACCTAGAGGCAACACAGCCAGCCCTGCCCCGTTGGCAAGGGGTCCATGCCTGCACTCCCTTTCCTCCTAAGCCATAGGTAGAGGAGTTAGCCGCTCTCCCAAGGTCTCTGGAAAGTTGACCATGCCTCGGGGGCACCAGTGAGCAAGTATGTGTCCCAAGGAGTCCAGGCAAAACCTGACAGGCAGCTGCCTTCCTGCCCTGTCTGGGCCAGATGCCCTCCCTTCTCCTTGAGTCTGATGCTGAAGTCAGCTTTCCTCAAAGCCCGTGGAAGCCGAGACCCACAGCTGAGGGGCTCGGCTTTCCAGAAACTGACCTGAGCTTGCCACATCCTTAAGGGTCCCCTACATTATGCTCTGGGTTTCAAGATGGACAGGGGGGAGATGTGGAAGAAGGCGGAGCTAAGATCCAGCCTCAGCCCAGCCACCCCCTGAATCCTGTTTCTGCTTCCAGGTGCCTGTTCTGACAGTCCCCCTCCCTCACCCCCCTGCCTCTCCAGCTTCCTTCTCCACGCCCCCTCTCCACTGGCCTGGGGTGACTAATGCTCCCCAGGGCTGGGGGTGGCGCGGATGGGGACTGCATCCTCCGGGTGCCCCCAGCAGAGACTCTGTTTGCCCCTTGAGCCCAGACTTCACTCTTTGTGGGTCGACGGCTGTGTCCTCACAGGTGCTCCCCTGGGACACATGTCACTTCAAGGTAATAAACGGGCTTCTCTCCTGCATCTGCAAAAGGAGAGAAAAATCAGAGGGTGATTTTATTTGTTTATAAATTATGAAACTTAATTGCAAAAATAGTCTAAATGTTGTACCGAGAAGGACCGGCTGTCCCTGCGCGTGGAGCAGAGAGCTTTGCGGTGCACTGTGGGAAATGCAGGGACATCCCAGGGAAACAATACAGAGACTTAAAGGTGGTATTTCAACACTTGTTATTAACCAACTTTATTGTTAAGACTACTTATGAAATTTGTGAACTTTGGGGCGATGGAAACACAAAGATTGCTTTTAATTTCCTCCTGTCATTCTGCTACCTGGCTTCTGGTCTGCTGGGCAGCTCACGGGGGCTGGTGGCCAGGAGCCCCAGCCCCTTGGCCGCTCCCTGCCCCTCGCGTGGCCTTCCCCAGGTAGCAGGGGCAGGCGGAACACACATCTCAGGTTTCATGGGGGTGCTCCCTGCAGACTTTTGTTATCTGCGTCTTACTAAAACGGTTGTTGCTGGATTGTCAAAAACATTGAAGAGGCTCTTAAAGGTACAGGAGACGTGGTGCTGTAAGTGGCGCATGGTCCTCACCGCAGTACTGTTTTGCCCTGTGATTGACGATGACTGGCCCCTGTGCATGCTCTCTCTGATCTGTTTTCTGTTTGCCCCTCTCTAGTGGGATCTTGTGTGTGATAATGCCTGGAAGGTCCATATCGCTAAGTTCTCCTTACTGGTTGGATTAATCTTTGGCTACCTAATAACTGGATGCATTGCGGACTGGTGAGTACCCACATGCCCACATGCGAACCTTGGGAGGCCACTGCGAGACTGCTGGCTAAAGAGGAGTGGTCAGTGTTAGCTGCTGTCACTGAGTCTTTTCTCCGCCCCAGTGTTGGTGCCAGAACAGAAGGCTGAAGCCGTCACCTGGAGAGTTCAGAATTAAAAGAATTGGCCAGTGCCCATAACAGACCCTTGTGAAGGGAGACTTTGAATTCATTGCAATTCTCTAGCACTAGAATTTAGTGAAACCAGCCAGCAGCCTGTAGCCTGCAGCCGTCTCTCCCACTGACAGTCAGTGTTCAGATAGGAAGAGCCTGAGGATGTATGTTCAGGGCTTTCTGGGCTGAGCCTTGAGGGGTTGGATGTACAAGAGGCATCCAGAGATGGGGAGGAGGACCTAGTGAATTTAACAGGGGGCACCTCAAAATGTCCCGCAGGTTTTAGAGAGGGTTAGGCCCTGAAGTTGGCTTGGCCAGGAGATGCCTCTGTAGGGTCCATGGGGAGCTGGGCCTGCACTCGGGTAACAGATGGGCACTGGGGGCAGAGGTGGCCGTGACCAGGTGAGGACGGGTATGCTTCATCTGGGCGGGCGAGGACGCCCGAGGGTCTGGAGCAGAGTGCCTGGTTCAGAACGAAGTGATGAGGTGGGAGGGGGATGGGAGCAGATATGGGAATGGTAATAACAGCACCAGTGCAGCTGACAGTTACTGACTGATTACTGTTGCTGGGTATTTCCAGACATGAAAATATTCCATTCTCACAGCACCCTGTTAGGTAGATACTATTATCACCTCTGTCTTATCGTGGAAAACCAGAAGCACAGAAGTTTAAGTAAAATCCCCCAGTTCACTCAGCTTTCCAGTTGGAGAGCCAGGGTTTGGGACCAAGCCCCATAGCTCAGGGTCACAAGGGTGCCACCACACTTCCATCTCAGGCTTTCTGTGGTCACGGGCAGGCGCGTTGGCAGCGACACGTCCGAGCAGGGAGGCAGCTGCCCGCTGTTGACAAGGCTTTTAAGTAACATGACTGCTCCTGGAGACAGGCGGGGCTAGCTGTCCCCTCAACCTTCTTCTATCTTTAAAGGCACTTTTTTGTGTGAATAAGGACATCTTGGACCCAGTGACACACTAAGGACCAGGAATGATAGGCTGCTTAGCTGAGAAAGCTGGCCAAGGCGGGAGCCTGGGGCACAGAGCAGCAGGTGGAGCCCGGAGGCTTTCAGACACCACTTTCAAGTGTTGCAAATTTCTTTTCAAAAGCTAGTGACTATTTGGGAGTTCCTGGCACTAACGCGTGATTTCCTGTATGTCCAGAATTCACTTAGTCATCATTTGTAAATGTTTCTTGAGGACACATTCCCGAGGGACAGTAACAGAGAAGCTGTGAATGGCCTCTGGAAAGCTGGGCAAAGGCCCCCTGTGGGGCTGGCCGATGGGACAATTGCAGGGTGTTGTTTTTTAACCAAATACTTGAGCTTAAAGGTTTTAGAGTAAACGGTACTGATCTAAAAGATACTCTAATCTCAATATTTTCACCATAAGGGCTTTTGTTTCCCAGAAATCAGCATTGAGGTAGGTTAGGAAGATACATTCATATAATTCACATCATTTCCTTCTAAAGAGGCGCAGTTTGACTCCAGTGCTAGTTTCCTCATTCAGGGAATTTGTAGGGAAAGCAGATATGGGCTTGTGTAAATATCAGTCTGTGAGGGGTTTAAATTGTGTAGCAGTTGTTTTGTGAGTTCTTCTTACACACACATGCTGTTTGTCCTCCCTGATCACACACCAGGCCTAGGGACAGGATGTGGAATACTTTGGGGTCCTCTTTCTGGAGTAACCAGCCCAAGTTTCAGACCCCTCCTTTGCAGTTGCTTTGCTGAGGCTGTGGGGGTGGTGTGGGTGCCCGGGGTAGGGGCGGGGGGCTCTGCGCTGTGGCTGTCTGAAAATTTGAGTGGGCCTCGCTGCAGTTGCAGAGTTTGGTGTTCCCCCCCCGGAGGATATTAACTTTTGGCACAGAGCTCCCCGAGAGCCTCACTGAAAAGGAAACGGACACATTTAGTGGGAACTGCAAACTCACAGCTGCTGGCCCGAGTCCGGCGTGTGGGGAAGTTGTGGAGCCGGGGTGAGCTCTCTAAGGCTGCAGTCAGCACATGATAAATGTTAGGTTGTGTGCTCTATCCCTTAGGAAGGTACTGTTTTCCGCACACATTTTGTTTGAGGACATACATTCTGTGCTGAGGGAACAGCCCTGGCAGTGGCTCTGCAGGATGACCTCACCCCTCCCTGGCTGGTTGATTTGCTAGATGGTCACATTCCTCACCCCAGGGACCCTGCACCCCCTTTTTGGGCTGCACCAGAGGACCCCTTGACCTCTAGCGTCTGACCCAGCCTGGCAGGTAGGTGGGGGGCTAGAGGGGGGGGGAACACCTGGAGGTCTGAGGGACAGAGGAGAGTGAGGTGGGGCATTTTATTTCCCAGTTTAGTCTCGGCAGGGTTGCCAGGGCTGCCTGCCTCCCTCCCTCAGGGGATTTCACACACAGCCTCTCTCTCTGAGTCCCATGGCCATCTTCCTCCAAGCTCCTGCTGTGGGTATTCCCGGGATTTCCCTCACACTCACCCACCCTTCTGCAAATAACCCCTTTATTAAAACCCCCTCAGATTACTTCCTTTGAGCAGGACATCAGCTTCCCGCTGAGACCCTGCGGCACTTCTCTAGGCCGCTGTGACCAGTGCACGTGTTCTGCAGCTTAAATAAACTAACTTGCTGTTCTGCAGTCCACACTGGCTCAGTCGGTGCCGCAGGGCTGCACTGCTTCCTGGGGGCTCTAGGAGAGAACCCAGATCCTCGCCTTTTCCAGCTTCTGGAGGCTGCACATATTCCTTGGCTCATGGCCCCTCTTCCAGCCTCAGAACCAGCGAAGGCCAGTCAGATACTCCCCACACCGCCAGCTCTCCAGTTCCCTGCAGCCAGGAGAGGTTGTCCATTTGCTAGATCAGACCCACCTGGATAATCGCCCATTGCGCAAGGTCCTTTACCTTAATCGCATCTGCAGAGCCCCTTTGCCACGAAAGGTAACATGTTCGCAGGTTCTGACATTAGGATGTGGACACCCATGAGGGCCTTGTTGGGCCCCCCAGAGCCTCACGGATACAGCCTTCCCCTCACTAACGGGGCTCTGCTCTGCGGGAGCCAGTCCACACAGAAACTCAGGGCTGTGACTACCCTTGTTTACCATATGCTGAATCACCTGCACTTCCTACCCTGACAGCAGCCCTGTAGGTTAGCACTGACCGGACAAGCGGGGGGCCTTTCTCGTGGCCATGCACGTGGTTTATAAGCCGTGGGCATGGACTCAAGACCAAGTGCTCTGACGTGAAGACCACGTTTGCCCACAGTTCCTAGCAGTAATGTTTACTCACTGATTTTAGCAATCACCTGGGAGGAGAGAATTAGAATAATTTCTACAAGTGAAAAGAAAATCGAGGCTCTTTTCTAAAATGTCAGGACAGGGCACACCAGGCTGGGTGGGCGTCAGGGATGCCGGCCTGCAGGACGGGGCCGTGAGGGCTGCAGCACTGAGCTGCCTGCTCGTGCAGGCCCTGTGCTCATGACCACCAGCTCTTCAGGGTTCAATGTGCTGTGAAGTAGGACGGTCACCCCATTTTACAGATGGATACCCCCGTTCAGGGACACAAATGGAAATGAAAATTGATGTTAGATTTTGCCTTCCTTCAGGCCAATTGAGATATATTTTAAATTTATTTCTATAAATGTGCCTGGTGTGGACAGAACTACCTGCAGCCTTTTCTGATAAGGCCAGGACCCTAGCACCAGCCCTGGGAGGAGATGGTCAAAACCTCCGACAGGACGATTGACTTACGCCGGCATCGGTCCCATAGCTTGGCCTCATTTCACTAAACTGAGTTCACTATGGGGAATGTTAGAAGCCTAAAAAGTTCAGAATGAAATTGTGTCCTGTAGCCCCCCCCCCCCC